CGAGTGCGATGAAAACGTGCGGATTGAGGGCGATCGAGGCAAGCATGGCATTGCAAGTGACCGCGAGACGTTCCACAGCAGCGCAACATCATCGAGGTGCTCTCAATTGTTACAGCCAGCTATCCTAAAGAGCTGCGCGTAGGCCAGGTACTGGAAAGGCGTAGGAGGGCGCAATTAGCCATTAGCGCGCGCTAGACATCTGACCGGATATGATCGCCGACTCACATTTTGCACTGACATGCGATGAGGGGACAGAGATGAAATGTAGGAGGCCAAATCAGCTTCATAGACTAGGCGCAGGCGGGAAGCAGACCGCAGGACACTACTCACTGAGCCGTAAGATCGGCTGTGGTGGATTCATAGAGACGAGGGTGTAGGAGACCTTGCTCAGACCAACTTCTCGGATAAGCCTGTACAAGCTCTTGGCCACTGCCGAGGGGTAGGCGCCCTCCATGTACCATCTGTGTGGTGCGCAGAACCGATGCGTCGGTCAACGAGGTGGCGTTGAAGTGACGCAATGTGCTTCGTCAGGACACTTACCGATGATGGTAGGCTGTCAATCGGAGAGCCGCCCACAAGGTCCGTTCTACATCCTTCTGCTCCGAGAAGATTTCCAGCAGGCGCAGCAGCGCCTTGGCGGAAAACTTGCCGTCCACGCATCTCTGGAACGCGTCCTTTGCCTCTTCCTGGAAGCGCAGAGCAGACATTCGCTCGGTAATTGAGATGCCAGGTGCTATCGCTTCGAAAGTGATCGTGACCGTCACTCACCTTGTGATTCAACCTCAGCGCTAGCTCGCCCAAGATCTCCCACTCTGTACCAGTCTTGGAGTACGGCAGGCTCTGAGACCTGTAGTGTACAATCTCCGCTCTCCAGATGGTGTACACTCTCAGATCCTCGTACAACACCATGAATGCATTATCCAACCACCTCTCGCATAGCCTCTTGTTGGTGAAGGAGAATCCAGCAGAAGCGTGAGCGTGTGCCGTGTCCTCGTTTTGCAGCGCTTCGCCAGAAGCCGTGTGAGCAGATTGTACGTTGTGTCCATTCAATGTCGATGCAGGGCCGTCGGCGTGAACAGCAGAGGCAGCAGCCGAAGAATCCGACCGAGTATGGCCGGAAAGGTGCTGTGCTTGCGCAGGCTTCTCAAGCGGTGGCGGGTCCACGTGCACATGTGGCACTTGCTGAGGGGCAGCCTTTTGCTCAATCACTTCTGCGACCGATCCGTTCGCTTGCGCGTGAACTTCCGCCGACTCATCCGCATTCGCCTGCTTCGTTCCACTCTCGTCTTGTTCCCGCATGTACGTTTCCAGCTCGGCCTTTTCTCGCTCGTGATCTGACTCTGTGGAGATCTTGATGGTAGGGATGGATTGGCTAGATGCTCCAGCTGCGCTATCGATTCCAAGTCTGTCCAGCTTCTCGACAACATCATCTGCTTCTTTGGGCTGCGATTCATCATAGGCTGGCAACGGCGGCATATCAGTCTCTCCTCCATGCTCGTCCACGACCGCTTCAGGTTCGGATGTCTGTTCAGCAGATCTCTCTTCCACTGGCAGCCTTGCCTCCTCTGCTTGATCCTCCTTGGCTTTCTGATCGTCGGAATCATCTCCTCCGGCAATTTCAGGCTCAACGTCGTGCGCTGCCTTCTGAGCTCTATACTCCTCCTCCATGACGAATACAGCCGACCGACATCGCAGCAATTCGTCCCATCCTATCTTGGAAGCGAGCCGGGACAACAGCGAGTAAGCTCTTGCAAAAGTGCCCCTCAATGCTGGTGCGGGAAGCCTAAGCAGCGCTACGTCCGCCTGACATCAGTAAGAGCAGTGTGGAGGATGAGCATACATATATCACACTTCTGACCACCTTGACGAGACTGCTCACCTCATTATCCCTCGCGCTGTCCTCGTTCAGCAGACCGCTCTCTTGGATGAACTGTTTCACTGGCAAGTGACTCCTCGCAGGGGTCGGCATCCTGTGCAGATCCCTCTCGTTGTAGGTAAACATGGGGCAGGAGTTCAGAGTAAAGAGCGCCTGTAGGAGAACGTCGTTTTCATCAGCACTGCTACATTCGCCCTGAGCTTCGTAGCCTAGAGATTACTCACGGATTCCCACTGTCCCAGCTCGATGTAGCACTCCGTCAACTTGGCCCAAGTGACAAATTCGCTAGGCGCACAATTGACAGCCTGCTTGGCCAGCCTCGCCGCCCACTCGTGTTTGCCTTTGGATCGCAAGAAATCGACCTGGACATGCAAGAGCGCATAGCTCTGCGGTGTCTCCTTGATCGCTCTGTGCATGGTCTGCACAGCCTTTACTTCCTCGTCTGTCGTCCACCAATCAGGAGTGATCAGCCAATTATAGCTGTGCTGCGTGCGCATGTCCACAAAACGCGCCGCACTCACTTAGACCGATGTAGGCTTCAGCTACAAGAGCTGCAACTTCCGGCTCCCTTGCGTACAGCTTCTCAAAAAGGTTCACTGCCTGGTCGTACCTGTTGGCATCGCCAAAGTACTTGAGGATGCCATTGGTGAGGTGATTGGAGACGACGGTAGCGACTTGGATCTCGGGTTCAGACCCTAGCTGCCAGCCCTTGAAAAAGAGATTTTCGGCAGCTTGCAGAAAGCGGTGTTCGGCATCTGGCGAACTGATGGGGTCCAGCTTCCTGTACCCCGCCAGACGATAGTTGGCGTCGTCCGCATACAGGATGGCTCGGAGGAGTGCTGAGAGGTAGACTTCTTGCCAGACTTCCGGTGTGGTCTCGTGTCGTTCACCTCGCAAGTCCACAACGTAAGCGTCCACAGAGCCAGGAATGCGGACTTCCACCCGCACATCGACCCTTGAGAAAGCATTGAAGCAGCTGTGCGGATAGAAGAGGTGCGCTTTGAATTGATGAGAGCTCACATAGAGTCATCGAGGGACGGATGTCGCACGCACCAGTACGCCCCGCTCTTCAGCTTCCAGCCGCCTTTTGCAGAGAACCACGCTTGATTCTGATCCAGCTCGTACGTCAAGCTATTGATATATGCAGCGAGGGCAGCAGAGCTGGACGCGTCCACTCCAGAGACGTAATGATACGATCCGACCTGGAAGCGCAGGGATGACAACGATCAGCTACGAAGCGGGAAGAGGCGCTGTTGAGGAAAGGCATGCTGCTGTCACTGACATCTTTGACCGCTGCTCGTCCTGAGCTCTTGATGACGTGACAGAGATCTGGAGGCCCGAGCTCTCTGAAAGAAGCTGATGACACGAGGGGGCCAAGCATGCACAGACATGATTTAGCCATCGGTCATGCCAAGACCGCTACGCAAGACTTTCCTCACCCAACGTCTCTGTTCTCGAAATCAGACTCTCGCCCAGCTCCACCTCTCTGGAGATTGACAGCAGCGCGTGGCAAGGCGGTAGCGTGATTAGAGGGATGCAAAGCGAGGCAGAGTGCGCTTTGAGCATCTGAGCT